GCCGCCGCCGCGGGCTTCTTTCGCATTCCTCCGAGCTTCGTCGCGCTTCTTGCTTCGGTCGAGTTGGTTTGTCCAACGATTCCCCAGAATGTTGAGTTGGATGGAATTTATCGTTGGATCGAATATCAACACTCGAACGTTAACGATTGACTGTTTTTAGCAAAACAGTTTCGCGTTAAATAGACGCGCGTGTCAACGTCGTCGAGAGCTAATTTAAAAATCGATCGACGTAGGCGAATCGCAAATTAGACGACTAGTCGCCGCGTTTTACCTTTCCACGGTTGTTTGACGATCGTATTGTCGAATCCGCTGCCGCTTGAAATAACGAGCACCCGAAGCAGAGTTCTTTATTCTCCGTTAACAAGTACCCGCGTCTCACAAAATACTCCGAAACTACGCAGTCAACGTGTGCTGTTGCTTCAACGCGTAACCCAAGTACAATACGATCCGTTGCCGTATGGCTGTTACCTTTCGGCTAAATCGAACATTCGTGAAGAGACGAACTTTGGAAATTTATGAAATAACAGCGTGAGAATCGCAAGAGGCAGAAATCTTCGATCATTCTTTGGTTTCGAAATAGATAAAGTAAACTCAACAGTCGCTCGCGTAAGGAAGCATAAGATGATAAAACCCCTAATTTTTACGGAAGCCAGGAATTCCCCCCTCCTTTCCCCCGAGTTTGAGCCAGTTTGCAATTTCCACCCGTAATAGAAAGCCGTGGGGCTCAAGTCGGGGCCACGTATTATTTCCACGCGCGGTGGACGCAGCAGACGTTCCATTTCCAGGTGTTTCCACGTGGTGATAAATCGCGAAAACGTATCTGGGGGCACTTAGGAGCGCGAGCAACATGTATATGAGGGACATCACGTGCGTTCAAGGCACGTTTTCCACGGCGGACGAACGGCAGGCTCGAGAGGGCTGTGATGAAGAAAAAGAGCATAGAAGAGGGCGAAGGGAGGGAGGGAGGGGGGAGGGGAATGGGTACGTGAAAGAAATGGTGCGTTCCAGCGCGCGAGGAGGCGAGGAAGAAAGAACGTCGGACAGAAATTCCAATATGCCTCGCAACTCGGAACGGCTGTGCATAGAATGCGTTCGAGTCCTTGATTGTGCTTCGAAAGCATATTTTTCTCGTACTTCCGATATTGCAACGGCGAGTTCCTCTCTTTTTAACTGGCTGCGCCATTCGGTTCTCTCCCTGTATCTTCTTCTTCTTCTTCTTCTTCTTCTTCTTTTTCTTCTTCTCCTTCTTTCGTCTTCGGGCTAGGGAAACGAGAAACGCGTCTGCTGCTCACGCGGGATGGAAGATGTATTTTTCGGTGACGCGTGCATACACTCACGCGCGCGCGCGGGAGGGGAAAAAAGAAGGGAAAAGAGAAAAATATTGTCAGGCACGGTGAATCGCGATATCTAGTCGCGCGAGGGGGAGGCGAACACGGCCTCTCTTCCGCCACCGGAGAATTCATGCAACTTCCGCCGATGGGGGAATATATATCATGCGTGCGCGGAAAACACCTATCCGACCGACTGAATTGCGGCTGTATCGCGGCCGAGCTTGTACCTGCCTCTCTCGAGCAACTTCCGCCTCTAAATATCCGCTGGGAGACATCCGCGTAACAGCGCGCGCGTGCAGCGACCTACAAAGTTATTAAAACTCGGTCGCGCAAGCTCGGTCGTTCGATGGAAAAGAATTTCTCGAGCACACGGTGGCGATACGCGTGTTTGCAATATAGCGCGTACTCGCTCGTAATGTATCCTCGCCCAACGTTACACTCAAGAAAGCTGTTTCCTTGTTGCAGGTGATGCATCACTGTCGCATCGAGCGTGTGGAAGAACCGACTGGCAAACCGAGCGACCGATCGCCGAGTATAATGTCTGCGTAACGACCAGCCGACCAGTTCCAGAGAGCCAGAACGAACGCTCGAGGGAAGCTCGAGCTGGGAGCGAACGAAGAAAACTGACGAGCATCACCGGTAATCTCGAGCACGCGAGAGTGTATACTTGGCGACACGCGCGTTTCGTACAGTAAACACGCGTACGTGACACAAGCGCGCGCGCCCGCGCCCACACACACACACACACACACACACACACACATATACACACGATATCTGTGTAGACGCAAGAGTTAGATTAATGATCAACGGGTTAAAAGTCCTAGCTGGCTAGCTAGCTGGTGTGGAGATCTAAAGGGAGAGGACGCGGCGAGAGACAAGAGAGACTGGTAAATGACTTTGACCGTACTGTCGCTGGACGTGCTTTCCGCGGCAAGGATCACACGTACCCGGGCCGGGTACGATAGAAACTAGGGCACAGACCAGCGTCAAGATAAAGTCAGTGAGAGCGGTGCCTCAGGATGCGCAGGAACGGGTGGTGCCGTTAGTGGTGTCCAACAGCTCGTCGGAGGGGCGCGTAGAAGGAGAAGGGGGCCACGAACACGGCCCCCAAAAGGGCCTGCTGGATGGTCTAGCTCACGAGCAGCCATCGTCAGTACCCGGTGGTGGTGGTGGTGGTGGTGGCGGCGGCGGCGGCGGTGGTGGTGGTAGTAGTAGCGGTGCTGGATCGCGAATCGACTCTGCAGAGGCAGACCGCGAAGAGAAGAAGATCGACCGCGAAGGCAGTATCGAGGAAGTATCGAGAACGAGGGAGGAGATACTCGGTACCGATACTTTGTGTGATCGCGATCCAGGAGTTGCAGGAAAGCAGGCACCGGCGGATGCTGGCAACGAAGCAACGAGCTTCACGGTGGACGAGCAATCGAACCGAATCGTTCGAGTCAGCGAAATCGGGCGGCAAGTATCGAAAGCGTGCGAGGCGTTGAGAATCGAGGATCGCGGCGGTGGCGCGACACTGACCGAGACGCCGGTGTTGGTTCACGAGTGGCGTCGCCGCGAGGAGGCAGCGTTGGATCTGCATTTGATAGCCGACAGCGGGTCGGAGGTCCGTTCGAAACGCGTCGTCGCGAGAAACGCGTCGTCGTCGTCGTCGTCGTCGTCGGTTGACAGCGTACTGGTACTTGGACGTGGTGGTGGTAGTGGTGGTGGTGGTGGTGGTGGTGGTGGTGGTGAGACGTGCGAGAGAAGAGGCGTGTGCCACGTGCACAGGCAACGAAGGAACGGCGGTGTTGCAGTCGGCGTTCCAGGCAGGCATCACGCGGCGGACGCCGCGCGAAGGAGTTCGAGTCGATCGTGTCGGGTTCATGGTCGAAGGAGGGATCGATCGCGGGGAAAAGCGACAGCGGAACAGCGACATCGGAACAACCAGAATCCGCGGGATTTGACGTCGGACGAGTTCGAGTGCTCGGTCATACGGTTGGAGCAGGATCCGATTCTCGAGCCGGTAAGGATACTCGGTTGTCCACCAGCTGAAGGACTGGAGATCTCGTCGTTCCTGGAACCGGCGCCCAATTACGTTTATCACCCGGGTATCAACGTCGCCCGGCTGGCGGGCAACGAGGCAGCCTGCTTCAGCCTCTACGATCCGAACAACATTCTGCCGAAGAGCCGGGCCGGCAGCATCGCCAAAATCCTCGAGGGACCTAATCGCGCTGTGAAGGACATTAACCGGAAGGTATTGGCGATGGCACGTGCCATGACGCCGGCTTGGTCGCTGCGTTTGCTCGGCGTCAGCTGCGGTTCCGTGGTCTGCGCCTGGGGACTTCTCCTGATATTGTCCGTGCTGGGCGGTGGCGCCTCTCACGGTACCGCCCTCGGTAGCTTCGGTCTCGGCAGTTTGTCCGGTACGATGGAAGACATGAACAGTGCTAGATGCCCGTGGTTGTGCGCGTGTACCGGTCAAGAGGTCGACTGCTCGCATCGGGGCCTCACGCAGATTCCTGGCGACTTGGCCAGCCTTCTCCTCGCCGAAAAACTGTAAGTCCAAGTTTCTTTGCTTCTTCCTCTTTCCTCTTTCCTCTTTTCTCTCGCTGTCCTCCTCTCTCTTTTCGTCCTCTTCTCTTTTCAATTTCAAACCGTATTTCAGACAACAATGTTCACACGCGTTCTAGCTCTATTCGAAGCAAAGTAATCGATAGTTTTTTACTCTATTATTGATACAAGTAGCGCGAGTCGAGCTTACCGAGAGCAAAATTATTATCGGCCATCCATCTTCCCCTCGGCGAGAGTCGAAACCGGTCGATTTTGTTCGAGCAACTCCCTTTCCAACAAGTAATCTTCAAAAATCGACGCTTCCATTCAACTTCTAATCCGCGAGATAAATTAAAAGGCAGGCGGACATATCGACAACGGTCTAACCGATAACCAGACCGAGCAGCAAGTTGATCGCGAGGCATTCAGAAAAATGGGGCTGTTCCGACCCACTTAACCTGAAAATTACCCGCGAAAGCTCTTTGTGTCAGAGTTGCATTAGTCGATTGGAAAAGAACGATGGAGGCACATGCTCTGCGTACATCGATGGCTCTTGGCAATCGAGATATGTAACCATTGCGATTATTGTTCGTTTTTTGTGCTCGACGACAAGTCCAGTCGTCCTTTTTTTTTTTTTTTTTTTCGAACGACGTAGCAAAATATCGAATCGTTTGAAAACTTTATTGCGAAAGCCAACAACTCGGGGAGGACAATGCGTTGTTTTCGAATCAACGTTCCATCGAATTATGTCGCGTATTTTCAAATGTTCCGCCTCGAGTGATATATACATATATATATATATATATATATTGATCAAGTAACGAAATAATTTTTTCCTCGTGTCGGAAACAAAGATTCCCAAGATTGTTCTTTCAATCTCTTCATTCGTGTTCTCCAGTCTCTTTGCGCGAGAGATCATCTCCCAAATTTCCCCCGTTAATTGATGCTCCGATAATCGATCACTCGCTTAATCAGCGTTCTGATAGCAGAGGTTCCATTGTTGCACGCTGTGATGGAATTGAGCATTCCAGCTCCAATTAACACGCGGTGTTATCTCGTTGATGAACGAAACCATTATAATTAATCAATTCTAGCTCCTCTTCCCAAAGAACAACGTTTTGGTCAAATTTGCCGTTTCGATGTTTGATGAAAACTTGAGCGATGCGAATACAACGACTCGCGAGAGCAACGGGAGTATCGAGATGTATCGATCTGAAATTTCCTGTATAAAAGGTTGCGAAATTTTTTCGAACAAGCTGGTACGAGAGAGCACGGCTCTCGCTCGCTCGATGCTGTTCTGCTCGTTTTCGTTCGGCGAGGCTATCACGCAAGAAGCCGGTAATTTAAATGAAATTGCTTTTAGTCGAATGTCGATGCGTCGCGAGAAAGAAAGAGAGAGAGAGAGAGAGAGAGAGAGAGAGTGAAAAGACGAAAAAGAAGGGAAGAGGAAGGATGAGAATTGAACGGTCGGTCGTTAAGCAGCGCGCATATTTCCTCGCGATGTGTCGCCACACGGTAGGAACGTCGGTTTAATAGTTTTGCATTTCCTCGGAGCGACGGTGGTCGAAGTGGCGCAATAAAAATGCAACGGGCGCAATAAAACGCGTTACAACGCGCGGCCAGAGCGCGGGAATAAAACGTCAAGAGTGTCCTCGAAGGACATGATCGTCGTTCCATCGACGCAGGATCACAGGATGAACGACCTGTTGGCTAAAGTCGACCGTAATTTGCGACCTGGACGGGCAAAACACTACCGCGGAACAATGTTGTAAAATTATTAAACGCGGAAGTGCAGGATCGTTTGGCGTGATGACGCGCGTCAATAAACGCTTGAGTGTTCTCCAGGAGTTCTCCACTATACAACCATCGACCAGACGTTCCCGCGACGCTCCGCTGTCGAGTAATTGATGGCTATGAATTAGACGTGTATACACTGACTCGCGAAACTGTTTCAACACAACCTCGCCGCGTGAAATTTTTACGGATATACGTTGCACGTATCTGGTCTCGCAACGTTCTTTTTATCATTCGTGCTTTTACATTCGTGCTACAAACGCAGTGGTCAGGTTTCGCGTTAAAGTGCTAATGAAATTTCAACCGTTCGACTGTTATACGCACCTCCTGCAGTGTACTGGTGTTCGTGTATTAGACGAGAAAGTGTTTAATAGTGAGCGGCGATCTGTCAGACAAACGGCTTCTCGTCTTGTTGCTTTCTTTCACCGGGATTCCTAAATTCCGTCACGGCATGTGAATCCGACGTAACGGAGACCTATTAATGACGATTGATTAGCATACTATCAATACGCCGTGATACGTTGAATAATTAAATCCTCGAAACAGGTTATTACCGATGCGCTCTGAAACAAAAGCACGAGTGGAAAGCACGTGAAACCTGCTCATTTGGCATTTATAACTTTTGGACGCAGAATTTTCCTTCTCGAGTCAACGTTTGCCTGCGCAAACCGCAGCGAATTTGTTCTCCGTTGGAGTAGCTTTTTTTTTATACGTAGCTACATTTTTAATACTTTTGAACGAATGAAAAACTGCGTTTAGATGATCAGAGATGCTGAAAGGAACGCGACAAAGTAGAGTCCAAGAAACACGATTGTACGTTTCTTTATCTTCTCGGCTGGCAAGAATTTCTACCTGCTCGTTGGCGGCTGCACCGTCGAGATAATTAGGATTGGAACGATCAGACCTGGTTGTTTGCAGCATCTATCTAAATCTGTGTGGTCTGCGAACGATTTTGAACAGTTTTGCGTTATGCGCGGGTGCAGAGGTAATCGGATCTTCTGCCAGCAAAAATTTTTCAATTTTTGAAGTTTTCACTTTTTATCAATATAGCAGATCGCTCTTTTATTAAACGGTGAGTGTTCAATGTAAAGTGTTCAATTTCGTTTAGCGTATCGATCGTCAGACAGCATATCCCATTCCCGCAATGGGGAAATTGCCAGTAGCCCTGAAAGTAATCGAGCAGAGGGACAACCAGTCGATCACGAGCGAGAAGAAGAAGAATTCGATGTTTCGATGATCTTGTCATTGAGCTAATATACCAACGAAATCGTGCAATCAATATTCGATGAACGTGTTATGCGCGCACTACAATTCGAACCAGCTCGAAAAGAAGCTATTATAATTGAAGAGTAGAGAAATTGCACGACGTTAAAGTTGTTTTTTTTTCTGTTTCTTGAAATCTGCCAATTCGAGAATTGCACTTTGCGATTTAAAGTTCCACGAAGTTCTGTACCATAAATCACATATCAGACACGGACATTAATCACGGCGATGCAAAGACCAATAACGACTCATCTCTCGTCGAGTGTCCATGAAACTTTTCCATGAAACAAGCACTCGTAGAGGGATAGCAGGGATGCTTATAATTTTTCGATTAGCCTGTGCAAACAACAGCACGCGGCAAGGAAAACAATCGTAACGGCTGGGTTAAGTGTTTGAGGAAGCTCGATGTTTTCCCATCGTAACGTCTGCGAGAGACGTCGCCCTACATTTCCTGTCGCCCGTCTTCCGCCCGTTTTTCTTCGCCTCGTGAATATCCGATGTGCCACGTGGCCGTCGCCAACAAAATAGATTCCGAGATTTTTTTCACACGTAACTTCCACGACGAATCGAACGTATCCTTCGAAAGTTTCGTCGACGACTTTGATCGTTTATTTATCCAATCGCATTTCCTTTCTCAATTTCCAACAGAGACGTCAACTCGTGAAGAGCGTTGTTCCCACGATAAGATCAATACTTCCTGTATAACTCGATTTTTTCCTGCCGCCGTGCTCTCCACTCCTTCCGCCGAGTTTCCCCGTTTCGAAACATTCGCTCCCAGAAACTTTGTCTCCGCTTCTTCGTCCTGTGTACTTGGAGATTCTTCTCGCGAGCAGGCTTAATAAAATTCATCAGAGCCGATAAGCAAGCTAATGATCCAAGTTAATCGGATTTGGCTGGTTCAAAGGAGAGACGCGCCGACGCATCTCGATTATCCTCCCCTGGAACGAAGGACCGACGCTTTCGAACAGCGCGAGACGAGAGAAAGAGAGGGAGCAGAACCGAGCTGTCGTTGACGATTTCTTTCTCGTCGCAGAGAGAGCCACTCTCGTTGGACGTCGGTGTCGGTCAACCCTGCCCTGGGAATTGTAATTAAATTTTTTCGTCGCGATGTCCCGTGGCTGGCGACGCGTGAAATCGAGGGACACGCGCGCCGTCCCATTCGGATTCCTCGAGCGCAAAAGCGGTAACCCGCATAGCTGCTCGCGCGGCGTGAAACTGCGCGTGTCATCGTACGCGCGGCCCGAACCCGCGAAACCCTCCGCGTGCCTTCAAACGCCAGCATCGTCTTTCACCGTGTCTCTCCCTCTCCTTCTCTTCTTCTTTCTTTCTTTCTTTCTTTCTTCTTTTTGTCGCCGTCAACAACGGACTCGTCTCGTCACATTTCGATCCGTTCGATCCGATCCTCGACCCATCACCGCGTTTTCCAAGATTTCTTCGCGTCGAGATACTTTACCTCGTTTCCTCGCGATTTTTCACACATTCCATCGTGTTTTAACGTTTCTGTTCCAACATTTTCCTTTTTCGTACTTTCATTCGTTTCGTTTCACATTCGTTTTATTGTGTCTGGCGATGTTTGATAGAGTCCTAGTGTCCCACGTTTCGTGCCGCGTTTCATCTGACACGATCTGTTTCTTCTTTTCTTCTTTTTTTCCTTTTCATTTTATGGACCAACTCTCCGACCAATTTTATCGGGTTTCGACGCAAGAATTGTCCTGGAATTGCCGGACCGAAGGAACCGCGTCGCGCTGCTATTTCCCGTAGCCATGCATAATACGCGCAAGCTCGCCATACCGTCGCCGGTGTGTATAGCAACCCTCGCTGGACGGCAGTTGCTGCATTTCACTGCCGCAGAACGAGGAAACGGTCGTCTAACCGCAAATATTTTACACCGGCTTCCAGCGAGTCTCGCGAAGCTTCGTTTCGAACTCGCGGTGCACCGTCTCGAGAACGAGCCGACGTTACGTTCTCTGTTCTCCTAGATCTCTGGCACGCTTCCCTCGTTCCCCCGGGCATTCGAATTCCGTGCACGCGCGTGTCTCTCCCCGCGTCTCTCCCTCCTCGCGAAAGATACGTTTAATCGCGT